CATGAGGAGATTGCTCATCTTTCTCCTGTGAAGCAGCTGGTGGATTCAAACTGCATGCCTTCAGGATTGCAGCCCAGCAGAATTCATACAACATTTTCCCTGACAGCTTCTAGGGATTAACATAAAAGAATAAGCAACAACATTTGAGATTAGATGAGCGCTTTAGTCCTGGCTCTAACAATTGTAGGCTGTGTAGCCTTGGGCACATCTTTTAACTTTCCTGGGTTTGTTTTATTTCTTCTAAAGTATTAAACATACCATGGACCACCAAGAAAACAAATAGGTCTCTCTTGGAGAGGATGAAGCCAAGTTTCTCCTTAGAGGCTAGGATTTTGAAGCTCCATCTCACATACTTTCAGCATGTGGCCAGGAGGGATCATCCTCAAAGAAGAACTTCATGCTTGGAAGGGTGGAAGAACAGCCCAGAAGAGGAAGACCCTGAATGACATGGATTGGTATAGCTGATGGGGCAATGGGGGTAGGTGTGTCAGAGTCAGTGAGACTGGCTCAGGATAGGACAGGCTTCAGAGCAGTTGTACACAGGGTTGCTATGAGTCACAGGTGACTCGATGGCACATAACAACAATTAAAATATTTTAGATCCTTTCATAAGGCATTAGTGAATCAGTAGTATAGAGCTCTCTTTCCAAGTTCAGGTTCAATTCTTCATCAAAGCACTCTAAGTGAAGCTGTCAGCATTCTATCAGAGGACTGTCTAACTCTTTTGCAGAACAAGTTTCAGTGACACTTCCATACTAAGATGAACTAAGAAAACAAATTGAGTGGTATCAGCTAATGACAATCTACCCTATAGATTACCAAGGTTTGAACTGAAACGTTTCAGAGGCTGGTGCAGGGCCAGGTGGCATTTTGTTCCATTTTGGTGGGGTCACCATAGGTCAGCTGCACTTCAGTAGCTGATAACAAGGTTGTTAAAAATATCAATTCATTGGAAAACTATCTGCAGAAGAATTAAACAAGATCCCCACCTCACTCCATATACAAAAACCAACTCAAGGTGGATCATGGACCTAGGACTAAAA